GTCGTCTCTCTCTTCTCTCGTCTCGTCTCTCTCTCTCTCTCTCTCTCTCTCTCTCTCTCTCTCTCTCGCTCTCTCTCTCTCTCTCGCTCTCTCTCTCTCTCTCTCGTTACTGCCTCCCTGCTCTGGCGTGTTCCCCTCTGCTCGGCTTCTCCCCACGTGCCGTGTGCCGCGCGCGCGTCCGTCGCGTGTACCGCTATGCCGTCGCTAGCGACGTCGGCAGGCGTTTATCACGGCACGTGCCGCCGACCAATCAGTTAACCTGCCGCTCTTGGCACGTCCGCTGCTGCCGCTGCTGCCGCTGCCGCTGGTTAGCGGTCTCCCGACTCTGCTTTTGTTGTGTCAACAACGGCAGCCAACGGTGCGGAGCGGGGCGTGGCTAACTAGCCATCTGCCACGCGACCGGATAGCGCTGACACGGCGGCTGCACGGGTGGGGGGATGGTGAGGGAGAGGGGTGAGGTGATGGGGGAGAGGAGAAACGGAGAAGTAGGAAGAGATGGAGGCGGAGAGGGAGAGACGGTGGAAGAGGAAAGAAACTGAGAAGTAGGAAGAGATAGAGGCGGAGAGGGAGAGACGGTGGAGGAGAGGAGAAACTGAGAAGTAGGAAGAGATTGAAGCGAGAGAGAGAGACGGTGGAGGAGAGGAGAAACGGAGAAGTAAGAACAGATAGAGGCGGAAAGGGAAAGACGGTGGAACAGGGAAGAAACTGAGAAGTAGAAAGAGATGGAGGCGGAAAGTGAGAGACGGTGGAGGAGGGAAGAAACTGAGAAGTAGGAAGAGATAGAGGCGGAAAGTGAGAGACGGTAGAAGAGGAAAGAAACTGAAAAGTAGGAAGAGATAGAGGCGGAAAGGGAAAGACGGTAGAAGAGGAAAGAAACTGAGAAGTAGGAAGAGATAGAGGCGGAAAGTGAGAGACGGTAGAAGAGGAAAGAAACTGAAAAGTAGGAAGAAATGGAGGCGGAAAGGGAAAGACGGTGGAGGATGCGGAAGACAGAGAGGTAGGAAATGGTGGAGAGTGGAGGGAGCGATGGTGGCGGAGGGGAGAGATAGAAAGGAGGTGAGATGATAGGGGAGCCAGAGAAATAGTAGGGGATGGGTATACGGTTGAAGAGGGGACGATACGATGGAGAGGAGGAGAGGTGGTGGGTGAGAGGGAGATTATGAGTATGTGGAGAGATGGAGGGGTGGTGGGGAGAGACGGTTAGGAAAGAGAAGAGATAGAGGGGTGGTGGGGAGAGGTAGACGTGTGCACACGTACACACAAGCAAGCATGTACGCATGATTTGTATTAATTTAGAAATTGTAAACATAAGGGCGATAATATAATAATATAATATAATATATTTATTGCTAAAATAACTCGCCGCTGGATGTCCTCCATCACCCTAGCATTTCTGTCAACTTACAATATAAAATTCGTCAACGAAATAAAAAATACATGCAGTTAATTTATACACGTAGATGTTAACTCTCGTCACAAAATATCTTTCAAGGTCGGTTCGGTAAGATACGAAACATTTAACATTGAACAATTTTACATGTTAGCACTTCGAACATCAACGATAAGGCATCGCAGACAGTACTATATTGTGCTGCCATCTATAGGGCGATATCGCATAAATGTTTTGCGGTTTTCACGTGACCGTCATCCTCTGGATGGGCAACGCTCTTGTTAATAAAGTCGTAGTGCGCTGAGAATCCCGTAGAATCGTAGATGGCGTTAGAGACGAGTGTCAGTCTAAAAAAGTTCGACTTCGAGACGATGCATTCTTTCTCTTCATGTGGTCGTTGGTTTCCGCACAAACGCGGATACTTCCGGTCTGTTTGTCGGATATTATTCGACAGTTCCACGTAATCACTTTGCGTCCAATTAAGGCATCTGTGAGAAATAACCGTAGCTATGGTGACGGAGCACGGCTAAACATTCTGGACATACTGGAGCACAATACTGCGGCTAAGCTATAAATTTGATACGTCTGGTCACCTAATGATTATTCAGGTGAGAGTTACGGGGTGGGCATATGTTTCCCTGACAGAGTATCAGCGTGACGTCAGTGTGCGTCACGTACAAACTCGGCTATCTCCGAAGTTGAATGCATACAGCCTGCTGATGGTACTGGTGGTTGCTCATGGTCATATTCCATACTACGCATATCAACTTCCGCATCAGACTTTCCGTATATCAAGAAATGATGCAAAAACCCTAACCCCAACTCTAACTATAAACCGACTCGGCTATCTTATATACGCGTGTCATAGTACCAAATTAATCTATGGTGTATAGATAGCCACTGACGTCACACTGACGTACACTGACGTCACGCGGATACTCTGTTTCATGAAAACATATGACCACCGAGTTGCGGATAGCAATCTCCCGTGTAGGACACACATCGCCATCTATTGGCAGTTGTTAAAATATGATTTCAAGTGTTACATCAGTTACGAAAGGTTTGGACGCACTATCGTTATTAAAATTAATAGTATGAAAGTTACTATCAAAAACACGAATTATGAACGTTTCACGCACGCACGCATACACGCACGCATACACCTACTTACGCACGCACGCACGCAGACACGCACGCATACACCTACCTACGCACGTACGCACGCACGCAAACACGCAGACACGCACGCATACACCTACCTACGCACGCACGCAGGCAGACACGCACGCAGACACCTACCTACGCACGCACGCACGCACGCATACACGCACGCATACACCTACCTACGCACGCACGCACGCATACACGCACGCATACACCTACCTACGCACGCACGCACGCATACACGCACGCATACACCTACCTACGCACGCACGCACGCAGACACGCACTTATACACCTACCTATGCACGCACGCTCGCTCAAACGCACACACCTACGCACGCACAAGCGCAGGTACGCGCGCACATACGCAGTGACGCGCGCACATATACTTACGGATATATTCCCTCGACGTTGAATTGCGTGAACCTTAGGCGAACCAGCTCTCCCGGGCTGGCAAGGAACGCGTATATACAGCTCGTGCTGCGAGGGTACAGACCCGGATGGTTGGGTGATACCACCTCACCCTCGAAAGAGAGCAGCACTTGCCCGGGTTCGCGATGGAAGCAGAAGATGCATTCCCCGGGCGCAGTTTGAGTGGCATTCATACGTTTTCCGAGCGCGAAGTCTGGAAAAAGAGAACGTGGTGTAACATACAGGCACACAGGCACACAGTTACACACACACACACACACACACACACACACACACACACACACACACACACACACACACACACACACACACACACA